ACATACATACATATATACATACATATATACATATATACATATATACATGCGGCGCGTTATATACAGTGGAATGGCCCTTTTGCGAAACTGGCGAGTAAAACTGAGCAGGATGGGCTTGCACTTCCCAGCCGCGTTGTCTCGTATTCCATTACCTCGTAACACCGACACTTTCATTAATCCCCCAACAATCCAGATCTTGATGTCACGAACCACGCTCACACGCATCTGTAACTTTGTTTCGACAAGGTATCGGTGCCTGTCTAAGTTTTCAATCAGCTACTTTTCTTTCGAGCGTCTTGAAATTTTTTGCGGGTGAACTATTTATAGTTTCGACGTTGTATGCGACACAGATTTCTGAATTATCCGAAGCGAAAGTTTTTCTATGACTTGCTGACGTTTTCGGCGACGAAAATAGCCTTGGGATATACGACATACGCATTCGTGACCATGAACTTGAATCCTGCCTTTTTTGTTTACAGGTGAGCGTTTTCACCTTGGAACCTGACGTTCATCTTGATCTCAAGGTATAAATGTACAAGTTTGATCGAAAATACCCAATAGGATTTCTTGAAAAGTGCGGGCTTTTCTATTTTTGACCTATATCCCTAATTCACCACATTTCAGAACATTTTGGAAGCTTATAAGCGAAAGGTATATAAGGGCGCGTACTCTTCCCTAAGTCTAAACACGATATCAATTCCACAAGGTAACTTTTGAGCAATTATCCTCCATGACTGGCGATGCAGTACGAAGCGGCATCAGCATTCTATAACAATGGTGGAGGGCACTACTACCGTCTGACCGTCCAAAGCTGGTTCGCTCGCTTCGCAAACCGAGAGGCGAGATACAAAGGTGAATCTTGGTCAGGACGTCCCCATGCTGTAGATAAGTCCGCTGTTCTCGTCGCTGTCCAAAAGAATTTGGAGATTCACTCGCAAACTTACGACAAGGCATGGGGGTAACCAATAAATAATCATTAAACGCATTCAAGCCCCTAGCGGATGGTGCGCGGTAAATCCTGTTATCTTTATGTCAATCTTTCCTTCTCCTATCGTATCGCAAGGAGTTTCTACAAAACCTGATTAGTGGAGGTGAGAGTTTAATCCACTACCACCCCATCGCACCCGCCGTCTAGCTGCCCAAAGGGAAGAGGCCGCTCATGCAAACCAATTCAGGAATGCACTACAAGAAGAAACTTTTATGTTGCGTCTGGATCCCAAAAGGTGAGCTGCTACCGCAAGGGCACACTGTCACAGCCTCTATTTGTGTCTCGACTTCAGAAAGATGCATAAGCTGTTCTGGAGAAACAGCTCCTTCAGTGAACTTCTTTCTTGAAAACGTCCGACCCCATGTAGCTGAAGGTACCTACCAAAAAAATCGAGGAGCTAGGAAGGGAAACCGTGCTCCATCCTCCACATTCTCTTGAAGTAGCAGCTCCTAATTACAACTCGTTCCGCCCCTGAAGGCTTTCTTGGCAAGAAAACTTTTACTGACTTTGATGACGTAACTCGGGCGGTCGCCGACTCATCGATCGGGAGCTTCCTAACTCTACTTCTATTCGATCTCAGTTCATATCATTAATGTTGTGAAAAACGTTCTTGGCAAGATCGCAGGGTAGGTAATGTCGATCGTATCCTTTATGGAAGTGCAAGTGGAACATTTGAGCAACTATTTCAAAAAAGTACGAAAGTACGACTGTGGGTCAATGGTGTCATTAAACGAATACTCCACATTTGTAAAGCTTTTCCCCACTACGTGAAGCTTACAACTTCTCATGAATTTTTGAATAATGACCTAGGTACATCGGCAGAGTTTGGAACGCTATTCCAAAACAGAAGTCTAAACATTCTCGACATAAAAACACACACTCAAGTGAAATCTCCTTAGAACGTAGGTACGCGAGGAAAACTCAACTTCGATGAACAACTCGAAAAATGCGTGGGAGAAGCACGTGATCCACATATTTCCCGCCTTATTCATGCTGTACCGAATACCACACGTTTTGTGCCTCTGATTTTCAAACTTTTTGTGATACTCCCAATACGAGACACTGTATATGGTGAAAAAAAAANAAAAAAAAACAGGCGCGTTTGTCTTTTGTGGTATGTTTTCAGCTAAGGGTCGATTGGTTGTTTTGTTTGTTGGTTGTAGAGATACAGCATGCATAAGTTGCGCATTTTTTGAACAACATATTTGCTTCTCATATTTATTTACGATTATTCCAATCTGAGTTATTTACGCGTGCCTCATTCAAGATGATTTCTTTGGTGTATTTTTCGTGGTGCGGCTCAAAATTAATAGGTCAGAATTTACATGCAGAAACATTCTGCCTCATATAAGAACAGCAAGTTTCAATGGAGACCAAAATGAATAATAAACATATGAATGCTAAAAGAATCTTTATATACATGGGAAATTGTCATCAGAGCTTTATCAGAGCTTTTTTTCTGAGAAGAAGGCGTGTTTTGTAGAAATTGTCACGATGACGGAGAGCCAGCCAACATCGTTAGCTTGAAATGGGAGAACACAACGTCTGAGCCTTTGACGCCATTGCAGTCAATTGTGTATTTTATTGGGCACTATCTCTCCAAGCTGTTAGCAAGCGAAGTTCTAGCGCTCGCAAATATTTCGTTAAACTTATTAGGCGGTTCCAATTTCTATCTTTGTAAATAGCACACCATACTCTGTCGCCATACCTAGCTTTCCATTGAAAGTCCCATGGGAATTTGAAACTCTCCTTTGGTTGGTGACGTGGGAGCTCTTTATCCTTTTCATTTGTCGTTTCGCGGATTTCCGCGGAGAGCTTGATTAATCCGCTCTCAGTCGAAGTCATTCTGATGATCCAAATGCAAAGTGATATCAGCAGCGTTCAATGAGTAAAGTAAAACCCTGTAAAAAGCTTCGCCAGCCTTTCGATTTGCAATCTCCGCTCATTCGTGCACTTCGTCCTTCTTTATGCTGTCTATTTTGAATCCCTTCCAGGCGTGTCTACTTCGCCGTGCATATCGTCGCTTTTGCGATAATCTTCGCTCTACCGCGTCTCTTCCCACCAGAGTCTACAGCTGACAAAACACGTTCCGCAATCGTTAGTGTCAACATAGTTCAGCAATCCGTGGAAAAAAAGGTCTTATAACACTGTGTATAGGCACAGTTTTGCTGATCTGATCGTATTGCTTCATCTACTCCGAATTTTTGATTGAAACCAATCTGTTTTGTGTTGTATGAGTGGTTCGCTTTATTTTGGGAGCCATCCCGCCATCATCATGTCTTCTCGGAATATAGTTTGTTTCACATCAGTCGTATGTTTATGAATTAGATATGCTAAAAATGCCACGGGCGCTGCCGTTTCTGTCCGCTGGTTCGCAGCTTTTGAAGCCTGACACTTTTTCACTTGGGATGTTATACCACTGAAAACTATCGTTGAAAGCGAAGATTTGTCCATAACTGAATTTAACAGTTTTACGGCATTCATTCACATTCAACCCGAGTTTCTGTCATACCCCTTAGTTGTGAGTGTGACGTTGGACATCTTTTGCTGGTGGTCGGTGGAAGTCCGGCTCTCACAGCCGTATTTGCCCAATTCCAAGACTTTCCTAGTCTAAAATCGGCAGCGTTGCATCAATGCCCTTGTACATTTCTGAGTGTTTCCTGTTCATTATTTTTTCTTGAAAACTTTCGTTTTACTTACCAATTCGATGTGGTGTTAGTTTTAAAACTTTTCAAGACAGTGAACTTATATTCTTAGAATGATCAGGTTTGAAAGACTCATGCAAAACTAGATTTAAGCGGTAGTTTATTCTCTTGTACTTTTGAATCTGGCATATGTGCACTGTTGCTAGTTTCCTCGTGATCGTGTGCTGTGAATTTACCGAGTATCTCTGACTACGTTATGTATGGAACAGTTCGGCTGCGCACGATACCGTGCGCGTCTCAAAGCGTAACCGTCTTGACAACACGGCAGCCGCCTTTCCCAAACAGGAGGGAGTCTTTTCCACCGCAACTAATAAGGGCATAAGCTGTCTCTGAAGAACGCACATTCCTAGCTGTAGTTCCAGGATGTAATGCGAATTCATTTGCACTTCCATCATTCACCCTCACCCGTCGAAGCGGGTATTTTGTAAGGTTCGTTTTGGCAATTTCGTTTTAACACTATCCCTTTAATGAAATGTATCGCAAATTTCATGTTAAGCATGAGTTTTACAAACATCGTTATTTTTAACGACGTGATTCTAATGAGGGGAAATCACGAAAACCTGTTAGCTACTAATGAGGGGAAATCACGAAAACCTGTTAGCTAAACAATAAAGCTTTTTACAGATAGGTACATGGAATTTGTAAAAGATATCGTCGAATGATATTGGTTACTGCCATGCACTCCTTCCCTCTACTTGTAAATAGTCTGTAGTTTTCACCATTGAGGTTCATCAAGCCAACATTAGAATTGGTTCCTTCGCTAGCAAATTCAAAGCAGAGAAAATGCAGCTCTCGCTGAATCATTGGCTTGTTATCGGAGCGAACGGACCGCTTCTAAAGCATAGGTTTGCTCTTAAGCTTGAAATCAAGCTCTCTAAGCCTCCTCATGCTTATGACCTGCGGAGAGTAGTTGTAAAGTAATAGAGAATAGCATATAAATGTGTTCGGATTACGTAATTCAGAAGGTTCAAGATTCCAGTCAGATCCTAAAGCTGGGATATTTCCTGTGGGGAAGTGGCTGAAACATCAGAAGGAACATTGAACTTAAATCGTAGAACAGACATTTATAATATGTCCAAACCTAGTAGCTTCAATTTTGTAGGACATATTATAAATGTCTGTCCTACGATTCAAGTTCGAAGTCCTGATGTCTCAGTCAATTCCCCACAGGAAATTTTTTTGGAACAGCGAGTCGACGGTGCTGTGGCGGCAAAAGGAGGTGGGCTTCGTTGCGCGCGTCCGTCGAAAGTGGGTCACGCCGCAGCCGTCGCATGCGGCGGGTCAGCCCGCGATACTTGACAGACGTCGCAGTTGTCGGTTGGGCATACGATTTGCGCTTGGTCCACGGCAGTCAGCCAAAGAGAAGATAACATTGCTGCATTGACGCTTGGTGGTACTGTAATGCCATCTTGAGACCTCAGGGGGGTGGGCCGCGAGCGAAGTGGACGGGATGACCTACTTTCGACGGACGCGCGCAACGACGTTCTCTGGCAAAAGGTATCTCGAACTGAAACCGTTTGGCAGGCTCTAATAGTAAGCTTCACAAAGCAGTAATTCAGGATAAAAGCCTTGGGATGCTGATCAATCCCGCCTGTAGGATGCGTCTACGCATTCAACTTCCATTCAGAATCGTAGTGAAACGTGTGAGATAGTGCGCCACTTACCACTACTCCACCTCTACCTCCTAGCAGTAATTAACTCACCGTAAATGTGGTATGGAATGTTTTGTGAGTAGACGGAGCGAACAGTAGCGGAGGAAGAACGTAGAGCAGACTTATATAGTCAACCCTACAAAGCTCCAGTAGTCCACCATAAAAGCGGTATGGAGCATCTTTGAGGTGGCGGAACTAATACTCGTAGTAGGGGCTTCAAACTGAACTTAGAGTGAACTTATATAACCTCACAAAGCTGTGAGGTGGTTTCTAGGATTTTTTGCGGCTTATGTCTCGCTTATTGAAGTGAAAGTAGGAATTCTGGACTAAAAGTTTCAAGGAGTACCGAGAAGATGAAATTAGTTGCGATGATGTTGGTTACCTTGAGAGTTGAGAGCTCAACAAACGAGACTCCAATCAATGGAAAGAGAAGCTGCATAGCGGCGCATGCTCTACAACTGATAGCAGTGTCGTTTCTTCTTTCAAATGTTACTATAACGTTGCTATAGCTTTGTCTGCTAAGTTGAAAACAAGAGGCATAAGGGGGCACGGATGTTAGACTTTTGTCGTCAATGCATCATTGTCGTCTGATGTCATAAGACGAAATTTGGCAGATAATCATTTTCAGATAGAATACAATAATTTGGTATGGCGGAGTCTTCAAGTGCTAGGTAGTATTTTATTTTGTATCGAATATATTTCCTACGAAATAATTTGTAGACACTATTCTTAAGACTTGTTTCCGATGAAAGGGCTTCCGCTGAATCCGAGCTCTCGATAATGCAACATATAGTTGCCCGTGAGTGGATATATCGCAGGTTAGATGTATTGCAACTTTTGTCAGAGTCTGGCCTTGACCCTTATTGAGGGTGGTAGCAAAGGCTAAGCGGGCTAGAATTTGTCTCTTTCAAAGTGGAAACGGAAGCCTATGCGAGAGAAGAGATCAAATTAGTTTTCCCTTATTCCGGTTGCGAATCTGCAATCTAACACGTATTGTTCATATTGATCCACAATAAATCTTGTTCCGTTGCAAAGGTTCCTGGCCTCCACTTCATCCAGGCCGCATTTATTCGGGAACTTACGGCCTGGTCCACGCTACATCAGCGGCTAGATCACTCCCCAGGTAGCGGGAGTCCTGGACCTTTTCGATGGCTTTCCCGCGTCCGTCGACGATTGACTCCGTGCCCTCCTCGGAGCTTAGGAACTTGGTCTTCTTCACGTTCAGCCGAAGTCCATTCTCCGCCTATACCCTCTGCCAATTCTGGAGTTTGTCCTGGGGTTTTTCCTTGCTCTCCGTTATCAGAGCGATGTCATCAGCGTGGAGGATGGTCTTCAGTGGTCCATCCATGAGTTCTTCTGTGGTAACGTCCATTGTGATCAGGAAGAGGAACGGGCTCAGAGCTGATCCCTAGTGTACTCCAATCGTGACATCTATTGCTCCGGTATGGCCGTGTGGGGTGCGCATTGTTGTGGTGGAGCCATCTTAAATGTCCTTCACCAGAGAGATCAGGTGTTCTGGAACCTTTCGTTTCCGGAGCACTCTCCAGAGAACTTGTCGCGAGGGACGGTCGAAAGCCTTCTCCAGATCGAGGAAGGCTAGGTAGCGGAATCTACGCTTCTCTCGATACTTCTCCATAACTTATCTAGCTATGAAGATGGTGTCCGTTGTAGACCTTTCAGGCATGAAACCGACCTGCTCCTGCGACAATGGGACCAATTCTTTCAATCTTGAGTCAAACAGCCGCTCGTACAGTTTCATCGTGTAAGCAGTCAACCTGATCCCCCGGTAGTTAAAACATTCCATCGCGTCCCCCTTCTCCTTGAAGATGGGAACGATATTTCTGCTCCTCCACGCATCTGGGATTTTTCTTTTAACGGTGACAGTGTTCAGGAATCGGGTGGCCACCCGTGCTCTCCGAGCGCTTTCCATGCCTCGATCGGTACTCCATCCGGACCAGTTGCCTTCCCGACCTTCATCTTTCCCATTGCCCTACGCACCTCAGTCTCTGTCCAATGTTTGATGGGACCAGTCGTTGCCTCTAATTGGGAGCTAATCTTACGGGCGAATTCTTCGTTGAGGAGCCCGTATTCCTTCCACCTACGCCTGACCTCGCTAGGCTTCCTCAGGATTGCACCCTCGCTGTTCCTGACGGACTTCACTACCCCGATGTCCTGAGTGGCGCGTTGACGCGCTTTCGCCAGACTGAAGACGTACTCCTCCCCTTCTCGACTGTCCCCATCATCCCAGAACTATGCTTCCCTATCCCCTCGGGAAGCACCACGAGTTTCTCTCAGCGTTTCCTTTGCACATTGCAGGATGACCTTCTCGGCGTTGCTCCATGTCTGCTGGATCGGCCCTATGGGATTTGGAAGTGCAACTTCTAGTACCTTCTCTTTGAGGTGTTCTCTTTCGAATTGGCGCAACTTCCACCCCCCGGATCCCCCGTTCTGTTCTTGTTCTTGATTTCCTAGGAAGATTGATGGCATATCTGCTAGAAGAGGTCTGTGCAGTGGAGCCAGGTCTTCTCCGGGCAGTACCTTGATGTCCTTTCCAGTTTTGAGGGACGATCTTCTTACTAGCGCATGATCTATTTCCGTTTCTTTCCCTACACTGCTGTAAGTTACCTTATGGGACTTTCTTTTCGTGGAGAAGGTGCTGCAGACTGCCAAGTCGTGGGCTATGGCCAGGGCAAGGACCCTATCTCCTTCATCGTTTTGACTCCTACACCTCTATCCCCGTGTACCCTTTCCAGTCCCTTCCTTTCACTACCGACGTCCCCATTCAAAT